TGTTCATTTGAGGTTAGTGACTTTTAGTTGTTCTCCTGTCCATAGCAAATCTTTTGCTACAAGACTGCCCTTTAGAAAGAAAATGGGCTTTTGTATGGGGGGGATATATTTTTATGTTTTAATCACATTTTTTTGCAGCAAGGCTTCCCTTAAAGAAAATGGGCTTTTGTTTCCAGGGGTATTATATGGGTTATTAATTTGTTTTGGAGTTATGTTTTTAATTGTATGTTAATGAGTATTTTTTTAGGTTAAACTTCCTTTTTTTAAAGATTTTCTTAAAAAAAAAAGTGAGATTTGTTTCAGGGGTTTTACGGTGTTTTATTTATAGTAGTTTTCTTGATTTTGATGTTAATTTGGTAGGGTCTTTTATAAATTTGGGGTTTTTAAAGTGTACCACTTTGTACTGAACATAGCACTGCTCCAAAAAAATAAAGGAACACTTTCAAAGCACATCAGATCTCAATGAGGAAAAATATCATGCTGGATACTGATATGGACTGGGTAATGTGTTAGGAATGTAAGGATGCCCCATAGTTCGATGGAAATAAAAATTTTCAACCTACAGAGGACTGAATTCAAAGACACCCCAAAAATCAAAGTGAAAAATGATACAGCAGGCTAGTCCATTTTGTTGAAATTTCATTGCAGCAACTCAAAATGGTACTCAGTAGTTTGTATGGCCCCCACATGCTTGTATGCATGCCTGACAACATTGGGGCATACTCCTAATGAGATGACTGATGGTGTCCTGGGGCATTTCCTCCCAGATCTGGACCAGGGCATCACTGAGCTCTTGGCCAGTGTTTTGTAGGGCTCTGGCAATGCTCATCATGTTCCTCCTTTCAGATACCAGTCCTGCTAATGGGTTAAGGACCTTCTATGGCCCTGTCCAGCTCTTCTAGTAATTGCCTGTCTCGTGGAATCTCTTCCATGCTCTTGAGACTGTGCTGGGAGACACAGTAAACCTTCTGGCAATGGCATGTATTGATATGCCAACCTGGAGGAGTTGGACTGCCTGTGCAACCTCTGTAGGGTCCAGGTATCGCCTCATGCTATCAGTAGTGACACTGACCCTAGCCAAATGCAAAACTAGTATAAAACAATCAGAAAAGATGAGTAGAGAAAAAATGTTAGTGGCCTCCTCCTGTAAAACCATTCCTGTTTTGGGAGTCATCTCATTGTTGCCCATCCAGTGCACCTGTTGTTAATGTCATTAACACCAAAGCAGCTGAAACTGATTAACAAACCCCTCTGCCACTGCCATTGACCAGATCAATATCCCTAGCGTGTAATTGACTTGATGCTATACTCTGATTAAAAATGTTTCTTTTAATTTTTTTGAGCAGTGTATGTTCTTAGAGCTGCCATTTGTTTGCAGTACACAGATTCATCATTTGAAAGAAAAATAAACAGTGCAAGAACAGTGTGCACCGAAACTGACATTATCTCACAATCCGCTATTCCCTATAGATAAAATAAAAGTTAGGCTTACATTGGTTAGGCATATTATGCCTCAAAAAAACTTTCCTACTACTGACCTATTTTACACTGCTCTATCATCTAAGTCTCTTAATGCTTGCACTAAAACCCTTACCTTTACTTTTTGTCTCTAGTTCATTTTGGCCAATTCTCCCTCATTAAAATGTCTTGCTACTGGCCAGTTTTGCACTACTGTATCATCTGTGGCTTTCTAATTCTTAGCGTGATAGAAATTGTTCGGCGGCAGAACAGTTTAACATCAGTCAGATCAGGAACTTTTATCTGTCAGTCAAATTAATCATATTGGAGTGCTGCTGTTATATATAAGCCAAAATAATTGTAAAAAAAAATCAATTCCAACACCAAACGTTCTGATAATGTAAGCTGTTGTTGAGACTGTCAGTGAAAATCATACTGATCCATAGTACCAGATACAGCTTAACCTCCCTGGCGGTTTTCCCGAGTGCAGCTCGGGGTAAAATTTCTATACCACAAGCGGTAACCCCGAGCTACACTCGGGCTTACCATGCGGCGCTACTCTGGGGGTCCCTGCAGCACTTACCTTGTCCTTCGTTCCCACGATGTGTCCCCTGCAGCGTCCCCGGCCATCTCCTCCGGCCGATGCCGGCATCCGGCTTCTGTGTTCCGGTCCCCGTGACGTCGGGACGTACCGGTGCCGCCGGCGGCGGGAAAATTTAAAAAAATTTAAAAAATGTCATTTTTTTTTTCAATTTTAAATAGTAAAACATTGCTGTTTCATCCCATTTCACATACATATTGTCCCTAGTGCTCTGTCCTGTGCCCTGCCTGCATTTTGTCTGTTCTTTCTGCCTGGAAACTTAGAAAAGTCCATGGCGTCCAAAAAGCGTCCCTTTACGTCAAAAGCGGTTTTAGACCGGCTAGAGAACAGCGATAGTAAATCAGAACCACTTGCAGAATTGAGTGATAATGATTTTGTGGGGAAATTTTCCTAAAAATTACAGCCTACAATAAAAAAACTATTTCCATGCGAAAAAATGGTACCGCTTTCAGCACAAAAAATCAGAAGGAATCATACCGCCAAGGAGGTTAAAGGTTTTCCCCAAGTATGTTATTTAAATAATTTGCATATCTTTGTTTGAATACAATTTTTATTGAAGATTTTAAACATACAATGAAATAGAGCAGCACATGTGATACATTATCCCAGGATTCTTGTTGAGAATGATTTCAAGACTCACCCACTTTTAAAATAAAACAATTATGAATGATCATTGGTCATGTATGGATGTGTCAGGGCTCCCGGGTATGACCAGAGGTATGTGACTGACGCAGGGAAACGCAGACCTCAGATATGTTATAAACGATATAATTTATTAACACTAACAATACAAACATAAACGCAGTGCAATACCAAAACATAACACAGTGCAAACAAACCCAACCAACCACCCACAGATAACAGTACATACAATGCAAGCGTGGTCAGGCAGGCCGGGTCAATATCAATTGGGCAGGTAGGTACAGGGGGAGCAAGCGGAGAATGGTCGGGGTCACAAGCCAGGTTCAGCAGGTAGCAGACAGCGAGGTACAGAGGGTCAGGCAGAGGGATGGTCAGACAAGCCAGGGATCAGGAGCAGGAGAATGGTCAGACAAAGCCAGGGATCAGAGCAGGGTCAGCAGAGAATCAGACAGGAACAGGGAGCAGGAACAGGAAACAGGGCCCAGGAAAACAACACCAAGGCAGAGTCTGCAGGTCTGAATGTCCCTTAAATACACCAGTATAATTAGTTCCAGGTGTTTGACTGGCTGCAAGGTTGAGTCTCTGATTGCTGGGAGCACCCGCTGGCCAGCCCTGGTACTGCAGCTCACAAGGCAGGTGAGTCCCACTATTGCTGGCCAGTCCATTCCTGACAGTACCCCCCCTCAAGGAGCGGCCTCAGGACGCTCCAAACAGTCCTAGCTGGGCAAAATGTTCCACCGCCGGGTCTGGTAACTGGCGGGATATCAAAGACTGGCACACCGGGCAGGACTCCGGGCAGTGGCACTCCGGGCAGAGGCACACCGGGCAGAGGCACACCGGGCTGGACTCCGGGCAAAGGCACATCGGGCTGGACTCCGGGCAGAGGCACATCGGGCTGGACTCCGGGCAGAGGCACATCGGGCTGGACTCCGGGCAGAGGCACATCGGGCTGGACTCCGGGCAGAGGCACATCGGGCAGAGGCACATCGGGCTCCGGGCAGAGGCACATCGGGCTGGACTCCGGGCAGCGGCACACCGGGCAGAGGCACTCCGGGCAGAGGGCACATCGGGCCGGACTCCGGGCAGAGGCACATCGGGCCGGACTCCGGGCAGAGGCACATTGGGCCGGACTCCGGGCAGAGGCACATCGGGCCGGACTCCGGGCAGAGGCACATCGGGCCGGACTCCGGGCAGAGGCACATCGGGCCGGACTCTGGGCAGAGGCACATCGGGCTGGACTCTGGGCAGAGGCACATCGGATTACCCAGGCGAAGCAGCAGGCAGCGGGCCACCAGGCGGAGCAGCAGGCACTGGGGGCCACCAGGCGGAGCAGCAGGCACCGGGCCACCAGGCGGAGCAGCAGGCAGCGGGCCACCAGGTGGAGCAGCAGGCACCGGGCCACTGGGCGGAGCAGCAGGCACCGGGCCCCCAGGCTGGGCGACAGGCATCGGGCCCCCAGGCGGGGGGCGACAGGCACCGGGCCCCCTGGTGGAGTAGCAGGCACCGGGCCCCCAGGCGGGGCGACAGTCGTCGGGCCCCCAGGCGGGGCGACAGGCATCGGACCCCCAGGCAGGGCGACAGGCATCGGGCCCCCCGGCGGAGCAACAGGTCTCGGGCCCCCAGGCGGGGCGACAGGCATCGGGCCCCCAGGCAGGGCGACAGGCATCGGGCCCCCCGGCGGAGCGACAGGTCTCGGGCCCCCAGGCGGAGCGGCGGGCACCGAGTCACCAGGCACGACAGTGGGCTCCGAGTCAACTGGCAAGACTGCGGGCACCGAGCCAGCTGGCGGAATAGCGGGCTTCGAGTCGTCTGGCAAGACTGCGGGCACCGAGTCGCCTGGCAAGACTGCGGGCCCCGAGTCAACTGGCGGAACAGCGGGCACCGAGTTGTCTGGCAAGACTGCGGGCACCGAGTCGTCTGGCAAGACTGCGGGCACCGAGTTGTCCGGCAAGACTGCGGGCACCGAGTCGTCTGGCAAGACTGCGGGCACCGAGTCAACTGGCAGAACAGCGGGCACCGAGTCGTTCTGGCAAGACTGCGGGCACCGAGTCGTCTGGCAAGACTGCGGGCACCGAATCGTCTGGCGGAACAGCGGGCATCGAGTCAACTGGCGGAAGCAGGCACAGCGTCTGGCAAGGCCGAGTCCGAGTCGTCTGGCAAGGCTGCGGGCACCGAGTCGTCTGGCAAGACTGCGGGCACCGAGTCGTCTGGCAAGACTGCGGGCACCGAGTCGTCTGGCAAGACTGCGGGCCCCGAGTCGTCTGGCAAGACTGCGGGCCCCGAGTCAACTGGCAGAACAGCGGGCACCGAGTCGTCTGGCAAGACTGCGGGCACCGAGTCGTCTGGCGGAACAGCGGGCATCGAGTCAACTGGCGGAACAGCAGGCACCGAGTCGTCTGGCAAGACTGCGGGCACCGAGTCGTCTGGCAAGACTGCGGGCACCGAGTCGTCTGGCAAGACTGCGGGCCCCGAGTCAAATGGCGGAACAGCGGGCACCGAGTCGTCTGGCAAGACTGCGGGCACCGAGTCGTCTGGCAAGACTGCGGGCACCGAGTCGTCTGGCATTGGATCGTCTGGCTCGACAGCGGGCATCGGGTCACCAGGTATTACAGCGGGCACTGGGTCACCAGGCATCAGGTCATTTGGCTCACCAGCGGGCACCGCGTCATCTGGCAAGGCAGTGGGCACCGAGTCACCAGGTACGACAGCAGGCTCTGAGTCAATTGGCCTAATAGGATCATCAGGCTGGATCAGTTCATTATGCTGGGTAGAAGCATCCGGCTGAGTAGAGGCTTTCAGGCTGAGTAGAGGCTTCAGGCTGAGTAGAGGCTTCAGGCTGAAGGCTTCAGAATAGGCTTCAGGCTGAGTAGAGGCATCAGGCTGAGTAGAGGCATCAGGCTGAGTAGAGGCATCAGGCTGAATAGAGGCATCAGGCTGAATAGAGGCATCAGGCTGAGTCACGGAAGGCAGGTTCTCGGACGGCAGGCTGACCAGTTTGGATACTGGCAGGATGGTATTGGTTGGAAAGAATTTTCGCTTTTTTCTGGTTTTAACTACTGGGAGCACTGCAAGTAAACCTGCAAACGAGTGGAGCAGCTGGAGACAGAGAAGAGCTGGAGGATGGAACAGGGGAAGGAACAGTCGCTACAGAGGGCTTCTTTACAGGGTTAAAGGCAGGATAGGTGCAGCGAGTGGGAACAGGGTACTGACATGCGGTAGATAGCCAAGTATACTGGGCTGTAACTGGAGGTGCTGTTGGGTATACAGGAGTAGAGCTTTGAGGAAATAGATTAGAAGCAGGACTGGGTCTTTGTAAGCTGACTGAGGCTGGGTGCAACAAATCTGTCCATGTCTGCAGTATGGGTTGAACAAAGCTCAGCTTACACAAAGCCTGTCTGACCAAAGACTGCACTGCGTTTATACAATCTCTTAGTATCTGTGGTGAACATGTGGAATAACGCTCCAGAAAGTAATCCACATCATCCTCTAATAACCACATCAGGGACTCTACCTGGTCTGCACTAAATGGTGGCAAAAATTCATCCCTGCATTCGGGGGTACCAGACGAAACCAACTCAGCACAAACCTCAATCAATGGCTGCACCTCAGAGAACTCTGTGCCCTGATCTACTAGAACATGAGTGAGCCGTATACATTCTAGCAGTTCATCCCGGGTATACTCCTTCAGAGTCTGATAAGCATACTCCCTGTCATCAAACACTAGCAGATATAAATACGCAACCTCATCCAGATCCATCCTTCCCATCAACAAACCAAGATGGCTTCCCTGTGCAGCCACTTCTGGTCAGGATTGGCCTTGGTGTAATGTCAGGGCTCCCGGGTATGACCAGAGGTATGTGACTGACGCAGGGAAACGCAGACCTCAGATATGTTATAAACGATATAATTTATTAACACTAACAATACAAACATAAACGCAGTTCAATACCAAAACATAACACAGTGCAAACAAACCCAACCAACCACCCACAGATAACAGTACATACAATGCAAGCGTGGTCAGGCAGGCCGGGTCAATATCAATTGGGCAGGTAGGTACAGGGGGAGCAAGCGGAGAATGGTCGGGGTCACAAGCCAGGTTCAGCAGGTAGCAGACAGCGAGGTACAGAGGGTAAGGCAGAGGGATGGTCAGACAAGCCAGGGATCAGGAGCAGGAGAATGGTCAGACAAAGCCAGGGATCAGAGCAGGGTCAGCAGAGAATCAGACAGGAACAGGGAGCAGGAACAGGAAACAGGATCCAGGAAAACCACACCAAGGCAGAGTCTGCAGGTCTGAATGTCCCTTAAATACACCAGTATAATTAGTTCCAGGTGTTTGACTGGCTGCAAGGTTGAGTCTCTGATTGCTGGGAGCACCCGCTGGCCAGCCCTGGTACTGCAGCTCACAAGGCAGGTGAGTCCCACTATTGCTGGCCAGTCCATTCCTGACAGGATGTATATAATGGTATTCAACTATCAGTTAATCAAAGAGGTTCCTGAAGGAGCTAAAAGAAGGAGGGAGGGAAAGCTCATAGATATCTACCATTCCCCATATGAAATTGTTTGTAGCTTTAAGTGGTAAGCAGGGGCGGACTGACCATTTGGAAACTCGGGCACTGCCTGAGGGCCTGGGGTCAGTAGGGCAAACAAGAGATCCCTGTGCTCAAATCCCAACAGCTAGTGCATGCATTTATCTATCAGGTGCCAAAGGGGTGTAACCACATATTAACACTAGAAATTCTGAAGGACCCTCTGCACACTGCTATATACCCTGTCAAGAAGACTATGCAATAAATAGGGATATTTAGTTCACACATATTGCAATACATGCTTAAGCTGGCCAACTGCATCAAAGTAATCCCTCTATGGCCAGTCCTACTCTGCCTTGCCTACGCAAATGCTACTGTGGACACAATGCTAGCATAGGGGAAAAGACACAATGGGGAGAGCTACAAGGTTCAGGTATGGCTACTGACCCAACAATACAACAAACAAGAGATCCCTGTGCTCAAATCCCAACAGCTAGTAATGCATTTATCCATCAGGTGCCAAAGGGGTGTAACCACATATTAACACTAGAAATTCTGAAGGACCCTCTGCACACTAGTATATACCCTGTCAAGCAGACTATGCAATAAATAGGGATATTTAGTTCACACATATTGCAATACATTTAGTGTGAACTAAATATCCCTATTTATTGCATAGTCTGCTTGACAGGGTATATACCAGTGTGCAGAGGGTCTTTCAGAATTTCTAGTGTTAATATGTGGTTACACTCCTTTGGCACCTGATGGATAAATGCATGCACTAGCTGTTGGGATTTGAGCACAGGGATCTCTTGTTTGTTGTATTGTTGGGTCAGTAGCCAGACCTGAACCTTGTAGCTCTTCACATTGTGTCTTTTCCCCTATGCTAGCATTGTGTCCACAGTAGCATTTGCATAGGCAAGGCAGAGTAGGACTGTCCATAGAGGGATTACTTTGACGCAGTTGGCCAGCTTAAGCATGTATTGCAATATGTGTGAACTAAATATCCCTATTTATTACATAGTCTGCTTGACAGGGTATATACCAGTGTGCAGAGGGTCCTTCAGAATTTCTGGGGTCAGTAGGGGGCCCCATGAGATGCCCCTGGCACCTATTTCATAGGCTTTTTTGAGTTTGGGCGAGGACACAGGGGCCCCATGATCCCCTATTGCCCAGGGGCCCCATGAGTTATCAGTTAGCCCCTGGTGGTAAGTCAAAGTAAAATAATAGAAGAAAGTTGGGAGGTATAGAGGGTTCTAGAAAGGAGTGTTAAAGACAGATTATGTAGGAGCACGGAGTTTGAGTTGGGTTCTTATTGCCTATTTGTTGGGATTAATGACTACTTCATCAGATTTCCAACAGTGTTCAATCAAAATCATATGGGGTATAATGACCAACTTAGGGCATCCAAATCTGTTTGATCTTAGAGACAATGTTTTGACGGATGCTGCCATTTTCTCATTGAGGAGAAATCAATTTACTTTCACTTGGCCAATTGAAGAGGTTATATGACTACTATGCTTTTGCTAGAACTTGTTTGGCTGCCATGAATAAACATTTCACTAGAAAATGATTATTTATATAGACTGTAGGTTTCCGGCTTATTGTAGCTCCTTTTGTTTTTTTGGAATACCTTTCTCCAGAGGTTTATGGACCAATTGATATACACTATTCTAGTGTCTTATCATTATTGATGGGCAGAACACCCCCGTGTTCGGTTCGCAGTCAAATGTTCAAACCTAATGAACGTTCGAACGCGAACGTCAAACTAATGCAAGTCTATGGGACTCGAACTTGTTAATACAAAAGTGCCATTTTGAAGGCTTATATGCAAGTTATTGAGCATAAAAGAGGTATGTGGACTTGGGTACAGCCCTGAGGGACACGAATCAGTGAAAAACAAATTTCAAAAAGTACCGTTTTTAAAGGGGCAGTCATTTTTCATTGCTTCAAGTAAAAAAAAAAAAAAAAGTGAAAAATTCCTTTAAATGTCATGCCTGGGGGGTCCCCTTAAACTACCTGCAAAGTTGCACATCTGTACAATGCATAGAAATTGCTGCCGCAGGCTTGGCCTTTTGTAAAAAAACAACATTTTTATCAAAACAATAAAAAAAACAGCATGCTGAGGGAGCATGTAACAGCACATGATTCATTTGTAATTAGATTTGATTGCTAATTCATTTATTGAGCAATGAGCAGCAATTTCCTAAATATGATCCAAATTGCCTACAATGGGTCTTTCTCCCAACATTTCCACATATAAAGGTAATAGGGGGCTGTTCTAAAAGGGAGTTATAATAGAGATTGTTCCTGTGGCTGACCTATTACAATGGTAGATGTGTTTAAATTTTGTTAGGGTCTGTAGAGGGGAATAGTGCTTAATGCAGCCAACAAAGTTTTTAATCTGTGGATTTCAAGATATTTCCACTGGCAAGGCTTTATGCAAATTGCACTGCTAAGTTCGAGTTCACCAAATTTCAAACAGATTTAGCTGAATCCTCCATAAATTGAACTTGATTCACTTATCACAATATTACCAGATAAAACAAAAATCAGATAGTAGTGGGAATAAAATGGTTACAAATAATAAGTGATACTGTATATATGATTTCGAATGTCCCTGGCAAAATGAATAACATGTCAGCTTTTTACATTTCTCTGGCATTCTAGTAATGAGATATCCCCAAAATAAATACCAGTTCTATCCTAGTGCAGTAGCCATTACAAAACTAAAATTTGGTATTTAGTTTCAATGGAAAGTCAAATATAACTTTGCATGTTTAATAATTTGTAATGCAGTATTTTATGTGCTGTGCAACTGTAGGACAAGACAAAGGAAATATGTTTGGTGCTGTTAAGTTATTCTCTTTCTATTGCTGAGATTATGATAAATGGAGTGTTGCAATTATAGCAGGTACTTCTATGCCAATGATACTCAGCCAGAGCCAACAGTGTATCACCAATGGATGATATTGTGATGACAACAATCAATACCTGTTTGTAAGTGTGCATTCTTCTCACTGACTATACATTTAAAGAATTTCTTCTCCCACTGACTACCAATATAAAGTGACATTGTATCACTTACTACCAAAGTAAGGGAGCACTACATTGACCAACAATTTAAGGGGGGACTTTTCTACTGTCACCCAATGTAAATGGGCAATTTTCTGTTGGCCATTAATGTAAAGGAGCACCATATTTACCATCAGTTTTAAAAGGC